CCGCCCGCGCACCCCCGACCGCCGCCAGCCGCGTCTCCCCCGCCCGGCCGCGTTCTTCCCTCTAGCAACAGAGGACACGCCTCCCCCCCCCTCCGGCGCGAGCCCCCCACCGCGCGCCGCCCCCGCCGCCGCCATCACGGCCCCCGGCTTCCAGCTCTTCCCCCACCTCCCCCCGGCACTTGCCGACCTCCCCGGCGGCTGCCGTATCTGCTGCGGACTGTCCGCAGCTCGCCCGCCCTAGCGCCCCTCCACAGGCCCAAGCACATCCTCCCCCCCCTCTCCAAAGCACACCCCTCCCCCCCCCCCTCCCCCTTCCCAACGCATCCCCTTGGTAGGACGTGTCGGTCTTCGCGATCCACACCTGCCTTGCCCGATTGCCGGTCTCCCCCGCTGGACCCGCACCCACGCTTCCCGCGTGTCCCGCCCCCGCGCCTGCCCCCCGGTCCCCGGTTCTGTCAGGCTTGATCCTTGAATTCCCCACGCGCCGAGGCACCTTCGCCCCCGCACCACAAGGCCCCCCGCCCCCCCCCCCATCCCGCGCCCGCATATTCTCACCCGCCCGTGAGAATTCTGCACAGGGGGATAACGGACTAGTCCGTCTCCACTTCGTCGCCCGGCTGCCCGCCTGCGTCGTCGCCGCCGCCGCCACCGCCCTCGCCGCGCGTGCCACTGCTTGCCCCGTCCGCCGACGTCTCCCACCACCGTCGTCCGCCACGCCCCGTCGCTCCTTCGGCCCACCCTCCTCCCCTCGTACCGGCCCATCACACACACACACGCACACACACGCCCACACGCCATGACCGGGTCTTCTGTTCCCACCGGCTTCGCCGTGTCCAGCATCCACAACTCGGTGCTCGTCAAGGATGACATCCTCCTGCCGGGCTTCTTCGAGGGCCCGGAGAAGCTGCTCGAGGTGACGTTCGTCATGCCGGGCGTCGCGCCCGCTCCGCCGGTTGCGGCCGCGGCGCCGGCCGCCGCGGCCACCGCCGGCGGCATCGGCGCCGAGATGCTGCGTCTCCTGGGCGCCGGCCCGGCGGCCTCGCTGTCAGCCCTGGCGGCGGACCTGCCGGCCGCGGCGCCGGTGTCCTGCACGGCCTCCTCCCCGGCCGCGTCGGCCGCCACCACCAGCGAGCCGGCCAAGGTCGGCCTCCGGGCCTACACCGCGGCCGATTGGCAGCCCCTCCTGGACTCGGTCAACTGCCTGATCATCAACAGCATCAGCAATGCCTCGGCCGATGCGTATCTGCTGAGGTACGCGCGCCGGCATGTGTGGCGCTCCCCCTTGGGTGCCCCTCCTGCCCCTCCTGCCCCTCCTGCCCCTCCTGCCCTGTCTCTCTTCCGGCCTTTGCAGCATGCCTCCCCGGTGCTGGTGACGCCGGCCACCCTCCGGAGGCCCACCCTCCCCTTTCTTCTTGCCCCTCCCTCCCCCCGCTTCCCCATCCAGCCCCACCCAACTGCCGTTCCGATCCCCTGACGCCTCCCGCGCTCTCCCCCTCCCTCCCCCCCCCCTGCATATCCGGCCCACAGCGAGAGCAGCCTCTTCGTCTTCGCCGACCGCATCATCCTCAAGACCTGCGGCACGACCACCCTCCTCCGGTGCCTGAAGGGGCTGCTGGCCATGGCCGCGCGCGCCGGCGCCACCCAGGTCGAGAGCGTCTTCTACTCGCGCAAGAACTTCCTCCAGCCGGCCGACCAGCCGGCGCCCCATGTCAGCTTCGAGGCCGAGGTGGCCTGCCTGCGGGAGGCCTTCCCCCGGGGCCGGGTCCTGACGCTGGGCGACCAGTCCGGCGACCACTGGCACCTGTTTGCGGCGGAGACCGGCACCGGGCACATGCAGAAGGTCCCGCGCGCGCCGCGGGCCCTGTGCCCGGCCACCGGCGGCGCCGGGCCCGCCCTCGAGGTGACCACCGAGATCCTGATGCACGAGCTGGACCAGGACCTCATGCGGGTGTTCTACCGGACCGAGCCCGGGTGGCAGTCGACCGCCGACTCGACTCGCCGGTCCGGGGTCGGGGCCATCCTGCCCGGGGCCCTGCTGGACGACCTGGTCTTCGATCCCTTCGGCTACTCGGTCAATGCGCTGCTCGGGGAATTCTACTTCACCATCCATGTGACCCCGCAGGAGAACTGCTCCTTCGCCTCGTTCGAGACCAACTACAACCGGCCGGACCTGCCGGCGGTGGTGGCCCGCGCGCTGGCCGTCTTCCGCCCGGGGCGCTTCACCCTGACGCACTTCGACAATGCGCCGGGCCTGCGTGCGGTGGCGGCCGCCGGCGGCCCGGAGGGCCCGGCCCGTGTGGCCAAGCAGCTGGCCCTGGCGGCCCGCCTGCGCCGTGACCTGGCCGCCTCCGGCGATGACGCCGGCGCCCCGGCCGCCTCCTTCCAGCATGGCTATGCTCGTGTCGGCGCCGCCGAGCAGACCCTCTCCGCGCACACCCTGCAGTACATGCACTTTGTGTCGACCGAGGCCGGCCGGCCTGTGTCGGCGCTCGACCGGCTCGAGTGCGCGGCCGACCTGTCGGGCCTCCTCGAGGAGGTGGCCGGCGGTCTTGCCTCTTCTTCCTCCCCTTCGGAGGAGGGCGCCGCTCTGGCGGCCGCCCCGGTTGTCGTCGGCCTGTCGACCACCACCTGCGTCTGAGAGCCCCGAGGGGCGGGCCATGCGCCCTGCGGCGTCGGCGTCGGCGTCGGCGGCAACAGTGAAGGCGCAGGCCAGCCGGCCGGCAGGGGGGGGGGGGGGGAGCCAGTGCTCCCATGCGCCGGTCGCGAGTGGCCAGCCTCTTCTCCGCGCACCGGCCACCGCGTGCCTGGTGTGTCTCCCCTCTCTCGCGCCTGCCGCGCGCCCTCCGCGCCCCCCAGCATCACGTCCGCTGTGCGCCCTGTCGCGCCGGGACCCAGCCGCGCGCCGGGTTGCTGCGAAGACATGTGTCCCTCCCGTGTTGTTGTGTCCCCTCCTGTCCGGCCTTCTCTCCCTCCCTCTCTCTCTCTCTCCCCCCTCGCGCGCGCGCGCGCGCGCTTAGTTGAGCGTAGTAATGGACTCTGTTTTTTTTTTTTTTACATTTTGACCCACATTGTGATGGCCTTGTGTCACGTCGCTCGGTGGACAAAAAAGGGGGGCGCCGGCCCCGGCGTCGGGTCCGGCCTCGACCAGGGGGCAGGGCAGCAGGCTGTGCGTCTCGGGCAGACGGGGGGGAGGGGGGAGCCTCGGGCTCGGCGTTGTGCGCGGGGATTCCCGCGGCGCGCGCCGTGGGCCCCTCGCCCCGGGCGTTCTTCTCTTCCCAAGGGGGGCGAGCGGGGAACGAGGGGCTTTTGCCGGCTCCGGAGGGGCGCGCCCGGCCCCGCCGTCTGGCGAGGGGCCCGGGGGCAACGCCCCATGCGTTGGCATCTGCGAGATTGTTCCGCCGATCGCCCGCGTGCCCGTGCCGGCGCCGATGCCGGCCCCGCGTCCCCCCCCCCCCCTCCCCCCCGGGCCGCCTGTGTCGGCTGGGGAAGCGGCGGCCACGAGCGGGGGGCATCTTTATCGCAGCCCGGCGCCGGCGGGCCGATCTGCTCGGCCATAGTTGCCCTCCGCGCGCCGGACCTCCCCTGTGCCCTGTTCTGCTTGCCTGGCCCTGCCACCTCCCTTGCCCGCGGCTTCGCCCTTTGCCGATCCCCTTCCCCACTCTCCCCTCCGCCCCCCCCCCGTCCCCCCGTCCCCCCGTCCCCCCGCCCGCCTGCTTGCGCTCTGTCATGCTCCGCGGTGCTGTGAGGCCCCTGTTCCAGCGGTACGCGCTGGCGGCGCGGGCTGGCCCTGCTCTGCTGCTGGCCGGCGCTCGCGGTGCTGCCTCGATCGCGACGCCGGGTGTGGCCTCGACCGCGACGCCGGGTGTGGCCTCGACCGCGACGTCGGGTGCGGCTGCCCCCCTGTCCGACGCATCCCCGGCCGAGCGTCTGGCCGCCCTGCAGGCCCGGGCACAGCACCAGCTCTCGGTGACCGACGGGCATGGGCCGATGCGGCTGGACCGATTTCTGCGGGCGGCCGGCCCGGCCGCCGGCCGGCCCGGTGCTCTGCCGAATGCCTTGTTCCAGCGCCTCATCCGCAAGAAGCAAATTGTACGCTGGCCTTCCTCTTGCGTCTCCTTCTTCCTCCTGCCTCAGCCTCTCTTCTAGGCGTATGTGTGTCCTTTTGTGTGTCCTCTTGTGTGTCCTCTTGTGTGTCCTCT